GTGCTTCATTCCTTTTTATGGCTGAATGATAGTCCATTGTACAGATTACCACGTTATGGACTAAATGCTTGTGTTCCTCCCCAAATTCATATGTTGAAGCCCTAACCACCAATGTCTTGTGAGCCCAATCCCCTGCCCCAGTTGGACCAGAAAGCAGGACCCACCACTCAGTGAGTTCAGAAGGCAAAGCACTGAGCCAAAGAGGATTGTTCTCAAACTTTAAGTTCTAATAATATTTGCTTTGCTAGGTATTGGACTTGCTTGTGACCTGTCATTCCTTTCTTCCAATTTCTTCTCCCTTTTGGGGTGGAAACATGTATCCTATGCCTGTCCCACTGTCGTATTTTAGAACCACAAAACTTGTTTGAGGTAGGCGTGGTGGCTCACGCCTGTAATCCTAACACTTTGGGAGGCCAAAGCAGGATTGCTTGAGTCCAGCAGTCTGAGATCACCCTGGGCAACACAGGGAGACCCTCATCTCTACAAAACATAAAAAATACTAGCCAGGCATGGTGGTGCAAGCCTGTAGTCCCAGCTACTTGGCAGACTGACGCAGGAGGATCCCTTGAGCCCCGGAGGTCAAGGCTGCAGTGAGTCATGATTGTACCAGCCTGGGCAGGCGACAGAGTGAGACCCTGTCTCAAAACAAAAGCAAGAACACAAAAAAACTTGTCTGATTTCACAGGCTCACAGCTAGAGAAGAATTTCACTCGGGATGAATCATACCTTGAGTCTTACCCAGTATCTGATTTAGATATTTAGATGAGACTGTGGATTTTAGAGTTGATGCTGGAACAAGCTAAGACTCTGGGGACTGTTGGGATGGAATGAATACATTTTACACACAAGACAGACATGCCAGGGACAGGGGCTGAGGACCGAATGTTTGCATCCCCCCAAAATTCATGTGTTCAAGTCCTAATGCCCAGTGTGATGATTTTAGGAGGAGTCGTCTTCGGGAGTTAACTAAGTGTAAAAGAGGTTGTGAAGGTATAGCCCCCAGGATGGAATTAATGCCCTTGAAAGAGTTAGAGACACCAGAGCTTTCCCTCTTGGTCATGTGAGGAAACGGGGCATGCACAGGTGGCCACCTGTAAGTCAGGAAAAGAGCCCTCACCAGCCACCTTGATCTCAAGATTTCCTAGCTCTAGAACTGTGCGAAATAAATGTCTGTTGTTTAAGCCTCCCAATCTATGGTATTTATAATACATAACACTTTCTTTTGTTTGTTTCTTTTGAGACAGAGTCTCACTCTGTCACTCAGGCTGGAGTGCAGTGGTACAATCTTGGCTCACTGCAACCTCTGTCTCTAGGGTTCAAGTGATTCTCCTGCCTCAGCCTCCCCAGTAACTGGGATTACAGGCACCCGCAATGACGTCCAGCTGATTTTTTTATTTTTAGTAGAGACAGGGTTTCACCATGCTGGCCAGGCTGGTCTTAAACTCCTGACCTCAGGTGATCCGCCACAGCCTCCCAAAGTGCTGGGATTACAGGGATGAGCCACTGTGCCTGGCCAACATTTTGTTTTTATCATCAGTTTATGGATATTTAGATTGTTTCCACTTTCTGGCTATTATGAATACTATTGCTATGAATCTTTATGTTCAAGTTTTTGTGTGAACACGTTTTCATTTCTCTTGGGTATATTCCTAGTAGTGAAATTGCTGGGTCATGTGGTAACTCTATATTTAACTTTTTGAGGCTGGGTGCGGTGGCTCACGCCTGTAATCCCAGCACTTTGGGAGGCCAAGGCAGGAGAATCACGAGGTCAAGAGATGGAGACCATCTTGGCCAACATGGTGAAACCTGGTCTCTACTAAAAACACAAAAATTAGCTGGGCATGGTGGCATGCGCCTGTAGTCTCAGCAACTCAGGAGGCTGAGGCAGGAGAATCGCTTGAACCCAGAAGGTGGAGGTTGCGGTGAGCTGAGATCGCGCCACTGTACTCCAGCCTGACGACAGGGCGAGACTTCATCTCAAAAAAGACAAAAAACAAAAAACAAACAAAAAAATTTTTTTTGAAGAAACACAAGCATGGTTTTAAAAATGACTGCATCAGCCGGGCGTGGTGGCTCACGCCTATAATCCAGCACTTTGGGAGGCCGAGGCAGGCAGATTACCTGAGGTCAGGAGTTCGAGACCAACCTAGTCAACATGGTGAAACCCCTCTCTACTAAAAATGCAAAAATTAGCCAGGTGTGGTGGCACATGCCTGTAATCCCAGCTACTTGGGAAGCTGAGGCAGGAGAATTGCTTGAGCCTGGGACACAGAGGTTGCAGTGAGCCGAGATCGTGCCATTGCACGCCAGCCTGGCTGACAGAGCGAGACTATGTCTTAAAAAAAATAACTAGGCCGGGCGCGGTGGCTCAAGCCTGTAATCCCAGCACTTTGGGAGGCCGAGACGGGCGGATCACGAGGTCAGGAGATTGAGACCATCCTGGTTAACATGGTGAAACCCCATCTCTACTAAAAAAATACAAAAAAACTAGCCGGGCGAGGTGGCGGGCACCTGCAGTCCCAGCTACTCGGGAGGCTGAGGCAGGAGAATGGCATAAACCCGGGAGCAGAGCTTACAGTGAGCCGAGATCCAGCCACTGCACTCCAGCCTGGGCGACACAGCGAGACTCTATCTCAAAAAATAAATAAATAAAATAAATAAATAAAAAATAAAAATAAAAATGACTGCGTTATTTTATATTCCTACCAGCAATGCATGCAGATTCAATTTCTCCACATCCTTGCCAACATTCGTCATTGTCTTGCTGATTAAAGCCATCCTAGCGGGTATGAAGTGGTATCTCATTACAGTTTTGTATTTGCATTTCCAAGACCATGGCTAATAATGTTAAGCATCTTTTCAGGTGCTTACTGGCCATTTGTAAGCTTCTTGGGAGAAATGTCTATTCACATGTCCACTTTAAAATTAGGCTTTATTTGTCTTTTTATTGTTGAAGTGCCTATTGTCATTTAAAGATGCTCAAGTCTCTAACATTTTAAAGCAAACCAACCCTTGGTCAATTCCAGATCCTTGCTGCAGCCACTGCCTTTTAAAAAGAATCTCTGGGTCGGGTGCGGTGGCTCATGCCTCTAATCCCAGCAATTTGGGAGGCTGAGGTGGGCAGATCACGTGAGGTCAGGAGTTCGAGGCCAGGCTGGCCAACATGGCGAAACCCCGTCTCTACTAAAAATATAAAAAATTAGCTGGGCGTGGTGGCAGGCACCTGTAATTCCGGCTACTCAGGAGGCTGAGCCAGGAGAATTGCTTGAACCTGAGAGGTGGAGGTTGCAGTGAGCCGAGATTGTGCCACTGCACTCCAGCCTGGGTGACAAAGGCAACACTTTTTCTCAAAAAAAGAAAAAAAGAAAGAAAAAGAAAAATCTCTGTTTCTTGCAGAATTTCTTGAAAGAGTTCTTCACACTTGTGGATTCTACCCACTCTCTTTCAAGCTATTGCAATCTGGCTCCTGATCCTAACACCATTGAAAGTGCTCTCAGCAAGGTCACCAGGGCCTATTCTGTTACTAAATCCAATGGACTTTTCAATTCTTTGTTTGATTTCCCCATGGCATTAATAAACATCAAGGCCCTCTTCATCTTTGTTGAAAGATTAGAGATCCTTGGTGTAAGTGACAGTGCATGCTTCTGAGTTTTCTCATTTGTCTCTGGCTGCTCTTTCTCAAATCTTCTTCAAGATTTTGTCCTCAGTCCTCTTGTTTTCCACCTTTATACGGTTCCACTGGGCAATCATGTTCATTCCCATGGGTGCCTACTTAATACTGCTGACTCCTAAATCTCATCTCTAGCTGCTGCCCAGACTTGCCTCCCGGGATCGAGGAGTGTGTATCTGTCTAATCAACATCTCTGCTTGGATTCCCATCCATCCTCAAACTTTATCCCAAACCAAACGTTTTATCTTTCTCTCTCTTGTCTTCCCTACTGAATTATGTCGATTTAAAACTTCTAAAGTCGGCCGGGCATAGTGGCTCATGCCTTTAACCCCAGCACTTTGGGAGGCCAAGGTGGGTGGATCACCTGAGGTCAGGAGTTTGAGACCAGCCTGGCCAACATGGTGGAACCCCGTCTCTACTAAAAATACAAAAAATTAGCTGGACATGGTGGCGCACACCTGTAATCCCAGCTACGCTGGAGGGTGAGGAAGGAGAAATCGCTTGAACCCGGAGGCCGAGGTTGCAGTGAGCCGAGATCACACCATTGCACTCAGCCTGGGCAACAAGAGCGAAACTCCGTCTCAGGAAAACAAACAAACAAACAAACAAACAAACATCTTTTAAAGTCATTCACATTCGTCTACTTCGTTCCATTCTCACCACCTATGCACTGGTCCAGCACCATTTCTTAAAAAGATGACAACATCTCCCAGCTCCGACCCTCTTCTCCAAACCTAGCCAGAGATCTTTGTAACATGCACATCTCCCTGCTTACATGAGCTGTTGTCACTCCCCTGCTTACATGAGCTGTCGTCGGCAACGGGATTACAGTGGCTTCAGAGTCAGACACACTCGGGTTTCAGTCTTAACACCATAACTTATTGGCTGCAAAACCGTGGGTGAGTTAATTTCTCTATATCTTAGTTTTCTCATTTAAAAAAAAAAAAAAAAAAAGCCCCAAAGAGCACCTCCCATAGGTTTCCCCCAGGATTGAGACCATACACATCATGTCCTTGGTTCAGAGTCAGGCACATTTGAACTGTTTAATACATTTTAACTACTATTTTTATTAAAACCTTTCAGTCGAGGCAAATGAACCTCTTTCATCCTAAAACGTGGGGATTAGATGGAATGGCTTTAATCAACTCTCTTGAGACAAGACACCTTTGGACCCTGAAGCCTCCCTGGGTGCTGGCTACCCCTCCGGGGAGGAAGCAGCCGTGGGCGCAGCTGGTACTCCTGCATGAGGACGCAGAGGGTCAGGTTCGGGGACTCCTTCTGCTGCAGGACAGCGCTGACCCCAGCTTCTTCACCGCCCCCGAGCTGTTACCCGGCGACAGTCCCCGCCGCCCCGTCGCCGGGCAGACTCAGTGGATCCACAGCCATGAGTGCGAAGCCTCTCAGGCAGGGCAGGCAGGCAAACCGCAAACCCACAGGACGCACCCAGCCCCGCCGCTTCCTCCCGGGCCTCGCCCCGGGC